AGAAATTCCAGCCAATCAGAAGGCGCTAAATTCTTCCCTATGTTATACCGTTTGGGAAAAAAAAATTTCGCGGGAGACCCTCTCAGCGTAAATAAACCCTGGCCAACACAATGTAGGGTTCACTACCACTGGCCAAAAGTAAGCTCCACCCACTTATCGATTTTTGCCAACGCTGCTACTGGATTCAGGAACCTGTGCGTCCGAACATCCCACGCACGTTTCTTGAATGCCAACTAAAGTTGATTGCAGTGGGCGAACGCATTGTTTACATGTATGTCACGGTTTATCACGGATTAGTTTTCAAATAAATACCCCTGGAATTTAATATGCATGAACAGATTTCTATAGGTACCAGCTTCTCAGTGTTTCGAATTTTCGGTGATCAAATAGCTGTAGGATCAGGTGGCCTGTTTTATCAAGAAGCTGTAGGCCCGGCATCGAAACTGTCGGCGGCGGGCCGACGGGCCGACGTGAATTTCGAACACTGACCATATATTATTTTGTAAACCACTTACGTAGGCGATTTTATTTAACAGATGCTACCTTATCCTCTTCAGACGTCTATGATACCTATATACGTATTCCTAACTGCAAATTGCGTGTTTAACATGGGCGGCACGCTCGCATCACATCACAGCGTGCACGCGCAAGATGCTAGCGGAGCGAACGGTGACGTACCTCTCTATAGATATGGCGAGCAGCGTGTTGGCTGAGACGAAGAGCGACAGGTTCTTCAGGTAGCCGGCAGTCATGCAGAGATAGTTGTTGAAGATCCACGAGCCGCGGATGTAGTTGTCCATGAAGAGTGGACAGGAGAAGAGCGCGACCAGCAGGTCTGAGATGACCAGGTTCAGCAGCAGCAGGTTGGTCGACGTGCGCATGCGCTTGTACTTAATCGCCGCCCAGCAGATGAAGCCGTTGCCGACGCCGCAGACGACGATCGTCGCTCCGTAGACGACGGCGAGGAACACCTTGACGAGCATGTGCGGCTTCGCGTACGGGTTCGGATAGCGGCTGCGGAAGTCCTTCCACGGTGTGTTGTTCATGTCGTCGGTGCCGTTCGTGCGGTTGCGGAAGAGCGCGAACAGATGCTCAGGTGTCAGATCGTCGTACTCGGCATAGTCGCTCAGCTCGGCGACTTCTGCGAGGAGGTCAGCCATCGAGTGTTCGTCGGTGCGGACCGTGTATCATGGCCGTCCAGCACGCGAGCCGTCGTCGGCAGGCGCTGATTACGTGGTCGCCACCTGCAACGTGACGCAGCGGCGAGATTACGCTAAGATTCGCGTCGCGTTCGGGTCACGTCGCCGGGGAGTGCTGGCTAGCGGCAACATAAGGGAGGCGTCCGTCAGGGACATGGAAATCATGGGCGGGCGACAAGCTCTTAAGATAATACGGCGACGACAAGCTGTCGTTAACAATTGCTGAGATCATGACTGCGGCTTAACTGCCTCGTTATTCCGGTACCGGGGGCCTAGCAAATCCTCGCATCGACGAGATTGATGGGCGCAGCAGCCGTAGTTTTACGGCATGTGTGATGAGGAGAACCTCTTATGTAACTACAGGTGAAAGAGCAGGTAACAATGCGAAGCATCGAGCAACGATTGCTATAGCCACCCGCACACCCACCCACCAGCCCGCCCGCCCGCGAAATTTTTTTTTCCCAAACGGTATAACATAGGGAAGAATTTAGCGCCTTCTGATTGGCTGGAATTTGGCAAGATGTCAGCCTCCATGACTTGTAGCCAAAATCCCGAATTATCTACCAAAAACTTTCCCGAACTTTCTGTAAGTTAGGTTAAAGTCGTTTTAGTATGTTTTCTTTAAAACAACATGGGTTTGAGTGAATAAACCCAAATATGATGCCATTTCTTGACTGATTTGGTTTGACTGAAGAAAACCTTCAAAACAAGAGGACAAACGCTATTTGTAAATATTTGTTTTGGTTTATGACCGCTAGATAAGTAAGTTTTCTGATGTATTTTCCATGAAAAACATATTTTACTCTATATACTATATTAATATAACATATAATATCACTATAACTGCAATTCTTTGTGCAAATGTGTTATTTTCATCTCAATCTTAAAGGGAGAGCTTACTCTAGGTTCTAGGGTTATTTTCAGCTAATTTAGGTTATAATTACGCTACATAAAAAGTTTCATGGTTCAATCACCTTTAGAAATATTTTTTTTTAATGTTTTAAAACTAACGACTACAGTTTGATTACAACACGCTTTCAACGCTCATGCTGACTGCACCGCGCTCGATCACGATCGCAGTACGTCCATATACGTCCACACTGCGTTCTACACGTTTCCACCACGCTCTTAGAGCGTAGTACGAGCGTAGTGAGATCGGGGCCCTGGTGTGACTGGGGTATAAGGAGCGGTCTGGCCTTTTCTCAACAAGGTCATGAAGACCGATTACGTTGCCGATGCTCACATTTGCTGTCTCGGCGCGTGTATTGTCAAGGTGTATAAGTGCACTTTATTATTGCATGTGATCGTAATCCGGGTATGTTAGGTTGTACCATATACAGTGTTTGCCACTGAGCAGAAAAAGCTGTAGGCCCGCCAATTTTGGAGCAAATTACAGTAATGAAACAGCATATCATGTTCTTCCTTGTGTTTATTAGTCATTATTAATGTCCATAATCATAATCCCTCTGTTTTTCCTTCCTCTCGTCGGATGACTGTTTATGCTTTTTTTGCCGGGGGCTCACAATTAAGGAAACGCCACATCGTTGTTATATGTAGCTTATTGGTAACTACGACTCTCCACTTTGACAGCAGAGAGACAGACTGGTAGTCTGGTACACATCGGGGACTTCTATGAGGGTCTGGGGGCCAGAACATTTTTGAAAATTACAAGCTCTGAGATGCAATCTAGAGCTATTTCAGGGTACTCCAATAGCTTACAACTAGCAACACTTTTTGGTGGAAAAGGAAAAAATTATGTAAAATTTACCTACTGTAAAATTTTGATGGGCACTGGGGAATTCCGTCTGTGTTGAGTGTGTCCAAAGTAAATGTATTTTGTAGACATACAAGCTCTTACGTAGGGAAGCTTTAGCTACACCCTGTATGAAATGTATATAGTTTTTTCCAAACGTTAAAAACAATATGACACGGTTAAACCTGAGTGGTACGACGAGGCTGTACTGCTGTTTGCATGACTAGTAAGTAATACGACGTGCTTTTCAGCTACAGTGACAATTATGACATGTGTGTTAAAACTTGAGACAATTATTATTATTTACTGTATAATTCAGCATGATATATTACCTAAATCTTCTTAATATTATTTTAAAACAGTATACTGATCGTTTGTAATAACTACCAGTGATACTTTATTGTTTACATCCAAACGTGAAATGCGCAGGGATGTAAGAATTACTTCACAACCTAGTAGTACAGTAGATTAGAAAAAAATCGTTCAAATTGTGAAAAAAGTATGAAAATTGGTACACTTGCATACTTTTGTATGCTCTTTCATTTAAAAGCAGGACACACGCGGTCCAACTACAACTTCGGCCGCCATCTTGAATTTAAAAATGGCCGCCGTCATTTCTTAAAAAATAGCTATATCTCGGTTAATAATCTTCGTACAGACTTGAAAATTGATTGACAGACGTAATTTGGGTTACTATTTCATACAACAACGTGATGAATGTGATCCAAGGGCGTTTTCGGCCGCCATCTTGAATTCAAAAATGGCCGGCCTCATTTTTTAAAAAATAGCTATATCTCGGTTAATAATCTTCGTACAGACTTGAAAAATTGACTGACAGACGTAATTTGGGTTACTATTTTTATACAACAACGTGATGCATGTGATCCAAGGGCTTTTTCGGCCCACCATCTTGAATTCAAAATGGCCGCCGTCATTTCTTAAAAAATAGCTATATCTCGGTTAATAATCTTCATACAGACTTGAAAATTTACTGACAGACGTAATTTGGGTTACTATTTCATACAACAACGTGATGCATGTGATCCAAGGGCGGATTCAAAATGGCCGCCATAAAAATTACAAACTTAGCAATATTTCCGTTCACGGAAGATATAGAGACGTGAAAATTTGCCAAATGGGCGCAGGTGAATACCATCCGGGCCAAGTCGACACGGTGGCCGTATCCAACACGCGTTGGAAACGATGGAAAAACACGCATTTTATCGTGAGTTCTATACACGCATTTTCAAACGTGCCGTTTTTCAAAGTAAACGCGACGTGTACACAAGCAGTTCAAAACTCACGCGCGCGCGCGAGCACGCACGCACGCACATAACAGATAGCTATACGCCCGCGAGAACGCACGCACGCACATAACAGATAGCTATATACGCGCACGAGCACGCACGCACATAACAGAAGCTATATACGCGCGCGAGCACGCACGCACATAACAGGTAACATATACGCGCGCGAGCACGCACGCACATAACAGATAGCTATATACGCGCGCGAGGCACGCACGCACATAACAGGATAAACCTAATACGCCCGCGAGAACGCACGCACCTAACAGATAAGCGATACGCCCGCGAGCACGCACGCACATAACAGGTAGCCTATACGCCGCGAGAACGCGACGCACGCACATAACAGGTAGCTATATACGCGCGGCGAGCACGCACGCACAGAAGAGGTACGCTATACGCACGCGAGAACGCACGCACTAATAGAAGCTATATACGCGCGCGAGCACGCACGCATATAACAGGTACCTATACGCGCCGCGCGAGAAACGCACGCAGATAACAGGTACTATATACGCGCGCGAGCACGCACGCACATAACAGATATCTATACGCCCGTGAGAACGCACGCACGCACATAACAGATAGCTATATACGCGCGCGAGCACGCACGCACTAAGCAGGTACCTATACGCCGCGCGAGAAACGCACGCACATAAAAGAAGCTATATACGCGGCGCGAGCACGCACGCACATAACAGGTACTTATAAGCCGCGAGAAGCGCACGCACATAAAACAAAAAGCTATATACGCGCGCGAGCACGCACGGCAACATACAGGTACCTATACGCCGCGGAGAACGCACGCACATAACAGTGTTAATAATCTTCATACAGACTTGAAATTTACTGACAGACGTAATTTGGGTTACTATTTCATACAACAACGTGATGCATGTGATCCAAGGCGATTCAAAATGCCGCCATAAAAATTACAAACTTAGCAATATTTTCCGTTCACGGAAGATATAGAGACGTAAAAATTTGCCAAATGGCGCAGGTTAAGGCCAATCCGGCCGAGTCGACACGTGCCGTATCCAACACGCGTTGGAAACGATGGAAAAACACGCATTTTATCGTTGAGTTCTAAACACGCTATTTCAACGTGCTCGTTCTTCAAGTAAACGCGACGTGTACACAAGCAGTTCAAAACTCACGCGCGCGAGCACGCACGCGCGCACATAACAGATAGCTATTCGCCCGCGAGAACGCACGCACCGACATAAATCAGATAGCTATATACGCGCACGAGCACGCGGGCACGCACATAACAGAAGCTATATACGCGCGCGAGCACGCACATAACAGGCTACCTATACGCCGCGCGAGCAACGCACGCACATAAGAGACAGTACCGTATACGCCGGGAAGAAACGCACGCATGCACGCACATAACAGATAGCTATATACCGCGCGCGGAGCACGGCCGCACATAACAGGGTACCTATACGCACCGCGAGAGGCACGCACATAAGCAGATAAGCAATACGCCCGCAGACACGCAACGGCAAATACAGGTACTATACGCGCCGCGAGAAACGCACGCACGGCACATAACAGATAGCATATACGCGGGCGAGCACCAGCACAGAAGAGGTACCTATAGCGCACGCGAGGAACGCGACGGCACATAATAGAAACTTATATAACCGCGCGCGAGCAGGCGCACGGCATTAAAGATACCTATACGCCCGCGAGACGCACGCAGAGTAACAGGTACTATGATACGCGCGCAGAGCACGCCACGCACATAACAGATATCTAATACGCCCGTGAGAACGCAACGCACGCACATAACAATAGCTAGTATACTGCGCCGAAGCACGCACAGCCGACTAAACAGGTTACGCTATACGCCCGCGAAACGCACGCACATACAGAGCTAATATACTGCGCGCGAGCGAACGCACGCACATAACAGGTACCTATACGCCCGCGAGACTGCACGCACGCACATTAACAAAGCGTATATAACGCGTGCGAGCAACGCCGCACATAACAAGCGTACACTATACGCCGCGAGAACGCACCGCTACGCAGATAACAAAGTTATAGACGCGTGCGAGCACGCAGCGACATAAGCAGATACTCTATACGCCGCGAGAACAGCACCGCACGCAGCATAACAGATAGCTATTACGCGGCGGACACGGCATGCACGCCACTAACAGATCCTATTACGCCCGCGAGAAGCGCACGCCATAACAGATCTATACTGTACATACGAGTCTATATTTGTGTTTGTGCAGGTACAATGGTACGCACTGAGTTGACAATCTGCGACAACTTGTGGACAAATGAGTTTCGAGACATATTGTTTAACTTAAACAATAGTATTATTAGCTTGCCATGCATGTTCTTGTGATACTGTATACTAACAATTGTTGTCTTGATTATCTGCTCTCTCAACACTCGGGATTCCGATGCCAGTGTTTGCGCATTGTGTTTGTTATATCTGAAAAAATCGGTAATTTTAACATTTTTTCCACGATGTTGTTTGTACTCTTGTTATATGCTAGTCATTGATCATTTTTGAAGTACAGAGTAAAATGTGATGGCGGCCATGTTGAATTCAATATGCGCCGGCTGTAAATTATATTGGAACTTGGTGTGTGGTGGCAATTTTTATGGTGGCCCATTTTGAATGCCGAGATGGTGGGCCAAAAACGCTCCTTGATCACTGGCATCACGTTGTGTATGAGAATGTAACTCCGCAAATTTACGTTTTGCTGTGCAGTAAATTTTCAAGTCTGTACGAAGATTATTAACGGAGATAAGCTATTTTTAAGAAATGACGGCGGCCATTTTTAATTCAGATGGTGGCTCGAACAACGCCCATTGGATCACATGCATGCACGTTGTTGTAGAAATGTGGCAACTCAAATTCCGTGCTGTCAGTCAAGATTTTCAAGTCTGAACGAACGATGTATTAACCGAGATATACGCGTATTTTTTAAGAAATGACGCGGCATTTCTTAAATTCAAAAGATGGCGCCGAAACGCCCTTGGATCACATGCATCACGTTGTTGTATGAAATAGTAAGCCCAAATTACGTCTGTCAGTCATTTTCAGAGTCTGTACGAAAAGATTAATTAACCGAGATATAGCTATTTTTTAAGAAATGACGGCGCCGCATTTTTGAATTTAAGATGGCGGCCCGAAGTATGTAGGTGGATCGCGTTTGTCGCTGGCTTTTTAAATGAAAGAGGGCATACAAAAGTATGGCAATGTACAATTTCACACCTTTTCACAATTTGAAGCGATTTAGATGATGATTCTGACCTAACCGACGTACTATAGCGCACGGTGAAGCATGAGCCGCTACGACCGCGTCAAG